CTCAAGTCATATGTCCCTAACTTCCAGTAATACTCAGAGGTCATACGTTTAACTTTCACTCAAGTCATATGTTTCTAACTGACCTTCAAAACTCTAAAGTGGTATGCTATTATGTTTAAGTAACACAGAGATTATTTGTTACTGTTAGCACTAGTACTAAAGTCCTAAGTTTTATGTTACTAATTTCTAGTAACAATCAGGTTGTATGTTACTAAGTTTCTGTAGCACTAAAAGGATTGATTACTTACTCCCAAAATTCCTTATTCTGGCGACCTATGTTAGATATAACCGGTGTACAACAACAAGTACATAGTATATATATATATATGTATATTATAGATCTTCACTCAAACGTTCTAAAACAAATTGTTATGCAAACAGAACTGCATTTATTTCTTTTATTTAACTTCATGTTTGCTTTAGTTGAATTTGTTTAAACAACAAATGTTTTTGTTCTGTTAAATCAATAATTAATTTATTTCGGTCACACAATGGATGCTGACAAAGACAAGTCTAGTGCGTGATTTATAAGGTGACTTAATGGGTTAAAATGTATTGACTTTGTAATCAGTGGCCACCAGACATTTGTTATCAACATTTTAACTGAACAAGCTCAGAGTCACCAACCTTTCACCACAAATGTCACATCTCGGGGTGATGTAATCTCTTCAAGATATTTTCCTAGGTAGGAGGTAAAAAAATCTTTTATGTTTGAACCTGATTGATTTATTGTGTACATGTAAACAGAATAATTATGCACGTCTTCAAAAGATCAATTCTTTAATCAGCTTTTCAACAGTTGTAAAATTTCCTGGTAACCCAGATATGGTAAGAGTATCAGTATTAAACGGTTTGTTACTGTCAATCATGTCCTCATAAATGGGCCGTGTTTTGTATGTTAAATTATCCCTCCTGGAAGCATTCTTCAGTGCTGTAGTGCAGGGATACATATTGGAGAGCTGGTATTCAGTAAAACAATGTTTTTTTTAGACAGTTATCTTTATTCACATTAACATGTTGCTGTACATACCTACCAGTGATGGTTTCACTTGTAATAATTATAATTGTAAGTGTAAAATTGTAGCCCACAAGTTATAAGGACATAGAAATTGCCGTATGTATTGCAATTATAACTGACTATTTCCTCCTCAGTTTAAGTAATTGTGACGACTTTTACGGTACTTAATGATCTTACCAGGTCTAGATCAATAAATTATTTATTTTAGGGATAATTATCATTTCATTTTCAAAAATATTTCAAATCTTGTTAAGGCACCCCACAAAGTAGAATTTACCTGTTTCAGGGTGGTCTGTACAAGTTAAAAAAAGACGTTATGGGTTCAAACATTTTATAATTTTGAACTCCCAGCAAATAATTTAGTCCATTCTGTTCCAACACAATGACAATCCACATGCAACCCGGCGATTTCGAGGGTCACTGCGGTATCGCTGAACGTGTGACAACTCCCTGATTATGCGAGAGTGTTTTAATACTAGATTTAATCATGTAACGTTGAATAGCCGACTGAAAGGTGAGAAGTCATAACATCGTATCCTGTGGTGCTGTACACAAATAATGTTTACATTCTGACACAACAACAAAGCACCGTTTGATTCCATTATGGTTGTGCAGTGTATCCAGCATTACGAAATTTAAATTGCCCTGGTTTTAAATCCCATCAGTTACCTTGGAACTCTTTAGCCTTGCTAGTATATAATGATGATATACAAGGCATGCCTAATTGGTACAGTACCCGGCTTCCTACCCTGTTTTGTGACTGTGTGGTATACCATGTTCAGATTTAATTTGTACACAGATATAAACTGAGTAAATATGACACCTGATGTTGAGCTCGTTAAAGTCATCTTGTTCTGTTATATCTAGTTATTCTTGGTGTCCTAATAGGATCAAATTACAGATACCTGTATTTGTAGGCTTTCCAACAGTTGGTGTTGGACTGTTTGTATGTTTGTTATATTTAAGGTACTATAGAACACAGTAGCCAAATGCTGAGGGCACTGAGTGTCAGCACTACACAAACTAACTTTCTATGGGTGTTTTCTACTCTTTTGGAGGTTAAAATTTTATTTAGAACTTCTATCTCTAATAAGAAACTATGTAAGTATTAAAGATGATTTGCAATGGCAACAATCCATATTACAGTTACCTAAAGGAAACTTTGAAAGTTTAGTTGAATGGTCCCTAATTTAGTCTTACACGTTTGTTATTTTCAAAAAGCCCTAGCTGGCCCATCCCCATTGTATCCCCAAAACAACAATGAAAAATTATGCTTTGTGTCCTTGTGTTCCACCTTGACTTTCAAGTTGTTAATATATATATATATTAACACTATACATCTTGTATCTTAAATTCTGAAAGCTGTGTTTGAGGGCCAGAGTCCTTATGTGAATGGATATGTCAGGGCCAGTATATATAATGTGTATACACAATCATACAGTGCCCTGAAATTAATTATTGTTTAAAACATCATGTGTATCGGGTATGGATTTGTATTGCTGGTTATAGTAATACAGTAGTCCTATTGTAATAGGGCAGTACTTAGCAGTCCTTACCAGAATGCGACCTTGTTGTACTCAGACACAGCTAACAGGGACCTGTATACACTAACTTATATTTCCACCACTGCCATTATATTATCAAGGTCACTAGGAATACTGATAAAGCTTCAATAATGTTAATGCTGTGATAATTAAATTCAGAAATAGAAAAGTTTATATAGAAGTGGGAGGACAAATAGGTTTTGAAAGATGCCACAGCAAAAATATACCGGGTCAAGAGTAGTTTTTTAGCCGTTTAGAAGTTAATTGGACATTCTAGTATGTCAGGATAACTTATTAACCCTTTCACCACTGTAGACCATAATGGACTCATCCAGATCAATGCATGGTAGAGTCTACTAAAGTTACATAGGGCTGAAAGGGTTAAAGTATCAAGTTATGAGACCTTTATGTCTTTTATTGTTCTTTGTGAACAAGTAACCCCTTGAATAAAGTGTTTTGAAAATGGCTGTAAATCAGATTGTCTGGAACACCAAAACCTTGGCCAACAGTTCTATAGCCCAGCTAGGTTCATGTTCAAGCCACATAACCTAAATCATAGAAACAGATGAGCCTCGATCAGCTCAGAATTGTTACCGTATCATTTCAATTTTGAATCCCTAAAGTAACCATTGGAATTCTGACACAGTTCCAGTGGATTTGTCTATCCTGACTTGTTCACCCCAGTGTAGGATTAGACTGTGGCGATGGAAATCAATATCAGGTGATCTGGGCCATCTGACCATGCAATCACAAGATTACAGATAGATAAAGGTGCCCTATCTGATGTAAACATGGAGATCGTAATTAATCACTGTTAATTAGTTATGATGGATAAGCGAGGACAGCAAGAGACCGTCAGATTTCACTTTGTACCAATATATCATAGGTAGGCGATTGTCATGTAAAACATATATTTTAGTACAGAGAGTTCTCTCTATCCCATATCTCTGGGAATGAGTTGACCAAGAGTTGGTTGTTGAAAGTCCCTTGTGATTCTGATACTAAAGACTCCTCTCTCTTTCTTAAGAATGTGTTGATCAAGAGCCTTTGTGATTCTGATACGAAAATCTTCCCTCCTGAGTTGTTGACTAAGAGCTGTAGTTTCATAATAGTCATGTTGTGACTCTGGTACCCAGAATGGGATCTCTAGAATGAATCCCCAAGAGCTGCGTGTGAAAGTCCTTTCATGACTTTGGAACCGAAAATCCTCCCATATTCTTTGAGGTTGACCAAAAGCTGCATTTTCGTATTATAGTCCTGTTGCGATTTTGGTACCCAGAACTTTTCCCTTCTCCCCCGCAGGATGAGTGAGTTATATATCCGTGGTGGAAATGGCACTCTACAGTGAATTAACCTGCCTCACCATTGTCAAGAAGCCACGTATATAACGCCATGTTGACAGTCTCAGGCAAATTAAAACACTAACAATAACACGAAGTATAACCCATAGATCGAAGTAGGATTGCTTTGATCAACAGAGCATGGCCAAAACTAGAAAATGAGAAAACAAAACAAAAGCAAAAGTTAATTTTCCTACCCATTAACGCATTTCTAATTAAAGTTACACCTAAGTTTGGGAGACACGCCTCTTAAACTAATTGTATAAAGATTCTTTACAGGGTGGAATGTTTTTTTGTTGAATTGTCCTGAATGTGAATTTTACAGAATGGAGAGTTGTATTGAATATTTGAAGTAAATGGTCGGTCCATTGGATGGCGAGTACCTAGTAAATTCACAGTACCTGAGTGACCAAAACATCCGTATGTAAGGTTTGATCAATACTACCTACATATCCTATAGTACCACAGACCGACCTTTATCAGATCTGCTGGAATCATAATTATCGGGTATTAGTCTGTGTTGTATGTCACTGACTGTAATAGGATATTCTAATTCTTTAATAACTTACTGATTCTGTACACTCTTCATTAGACAGGAGAAAGCCTGGTGGTCAGGGGCCACAAGGTCACAACAGATTATGTATCTCTATGTAACGTACAGACATGTAGCTGTTATCTTACTAGTACACCAAACCCTACAATCAATTACTGTTAATAAATCTAAAAAAATACCTGCTTGAATTGGAATTATAAATGTTGTTATTAAGGATTGGTAATATATAGCTATGATCCCAGTACAGACAGAGGAATCAGAAATGGGATGTCACAATGTAATTTGGTAGGGGTTGTCTTTAGACAAGGATGTAGCGCAACAGCACTAACAGTGGAGGTCTAGGTAAAATATGTTTGTTTGAATATAAACAAAATATGTGGCCATGGATATGTATGAATTTCAGAAGTATTTGCAGAAATTGTAGACAATTGAAAAAGCAATACATAGTTTCACCTTAGATAGTTTCAATGTGGCTGTGCAACGTTTATAAATTGCATTCCATGTTTGTTTCATAGCACTAAAGATTAAATTTAATGTTTTTTCAGAAGCGAGAAATCCAATGGAGGGTACAGCTCTAGAGACAGGGCCACGTCACACATTGCATCTTGATCATGAACCCATCGAACAGCGAACATACGAACTCCTCCTACCACCAGATGGCGCCAACAGCAAACAGCCAAAAGTGCGCAAAGTGGCAGCTGGTCCTCCCCTACCTTCTTATAAAGGTAACTGTCTTTGTGTTAGACCCCAAGAACATTAGTTCATAGTCTTGGACTGTAGGGAGATTCTACCTCAAATCTCAGGCTTTGTCATAACACTGATACATTTGTAGGCCTAAGGTTACAGAAAGATTTCTGTTTCACAGGTAACACAGTCTCAAAGGTCAAGGTCAACAATTGCAAAGAACCTTTGTAGGAACAATTATTTTACAGATGAACTGCTAGTTGGTTTAAATCCTTCTGTACCTTGTTGGTAATTAATATCACTATCTAGCAATCACTCTTTGTAGAAGAATAAGTTTTGATGGTTGAAGGGTAACCAAATGGAACAGCTTCTGTGTGAGATTTAAAATTCATCAAAAAAGTCATTTTAAGCCTCATTAGGGTTTGACTATTACAAAGATATAAGTATCTAGATAGGTCTGTACGGGGCCTGGCTGTATACTATCACTTCAGATAGTAACATACACCCAGGTAATTCTGAACAGGATCATACAGGTAATTCTTAGTTATATATAGTATCATACAGGTAACTCTTAGTTATATATAGTATCAAACAGGTAACTCTTAGTTATATATAGTATTATACAGGTAACTCTTAGTTATATATAGTATTATACAGGTAACTCTTAGTTATATATATATTCATACAGGTAACTCTTAGTTATATATAGTATCATACAGGTAACTCTTAGCTTAATATAGTATCATACAGGTAATTCATAGCTTTATTTAGTACATCACATGATAATTTCTAGGATAGCTATTGGATAACTACCCTTGCTCCTTTTTTGGACCGCTGATACTGCGGGAAAAGTAGCACATGGCCTGTCACATGGCCTGTCACATAA